ATGTACTCTAGGTATATTTGTGTTATTACTAACAGGATCTACTAACAAATGTGTCCTTTCATTTACTTCTCCACTCTATAAAAAATAAATAAACAGAGAAATTATATTAAATAATTTAAAATCAAAAATGCATTTTTTTACTTAAGTTTGATTAAATTTTTATATAAATTTTCATATAAATTATATAAGAGTATTAATTATTTTATATTATATTTGATTAAGCGAAATTATGATAAAAATTGTATTCTTTTATATATCTAACTTCTGATAAATCAAAATTTCAAAACATTTTATATGATTGTAATAATATGATTCATTACCTGTGGACCGCTATCTTCTTTACAGAAACTGTAACAACATCCCATACTTAAAAATTAATTACTTTTTTTCGCCAGTGACACGTATTACTACAACGTATTACTTTTAATCTTCATTCCTGTAAACAATTAAATGAATCAGCTCTAATGCCGATATTGCGCTTCAGTCACTGTCCATAAATAAAATATATTGCGAAGTGTGACAATCTTTTTCAACTAGATACGAAAATGTTAACGAAAAGGTATGAATGTGCACCCACGGATTAGATACAGAATAGATTTCTTATTCAATGCATTTTTGTAACATATAATCCTGGGACAACGTAGCCTCGATTACCATTATGTGTCAAATTTGATATTATCGATTTGATATTATCGAATCGAATGAAATAATAATACTACTGGAATGAAAAGAAATTAAATAAATATAAAAATCTTTGATATAATCGAATATAAAAATTGACATAATCGACAATAGACGATAGACGAGATAAAATAGATCTAATGATCTAATATATATTTAATATATATTTAATTCACTTGTGTATTTTTATGTGTTAAGCACAGATTCTTTATTTTTAATATTATACTTAACATTATTGATTCGGTTTAATAAAATAACATTATAACATTAATAATATTTAGAATTGTAATTAAATTTTAATATAAAATTATAAATAAGAAAAAGAAAAAAATATTCTGTTACAATACTTTATAAATGTACATGAAATATGCATTTTATACGTAAGAACAGACAAAAAATTTGTCATATATCAAAGTATATTTTGTTTTACGAGATCATCATTTTAAAGATACATTGTAAATCTACCAAAGTAATATATTTTTTATTTATTATTATTTTAATTATCTTAATTACCTAAAAATTACCTTAATTTTAAAAAAAAAATAATAAAAGTGTATTCAATTGATATTCCATATCTTGTCTATGATCATACGCCATTTATAAATGTCGCATTTATAAAACATTCGAAAAGCATAAAGATAAGAATTAAAAAATAAAAGAAAAAAAAAGTGCTATAAATTAGATATAAAAGATTCTTTTCAAAGTATTCAAAAAATGGTATTGATTTTCAATTGTTATTCTACTTTATTGTGAAAAATATTTTTATAACTTAAAAAATGGCAGTGACAATCAATCTTTATTTTATCTTTTTCCTACTACTTATTATTTTTGCCTATTCTGTTTCATCTACGATATTTTAGAAATGATATTGATTCCCTAATTTTATCCTATTCACTCTATCTTTCTCTCAAGATTTGTTCTTGATCATCATTGTTTTATAAAATTTATTTGCTATAAGAGACAATTGCGACCATTTTAACCTATTAAAAAAATTTTAGGATTTAATAGATTTAAAAAAAATCTATTCAATTTATTGAATATATATGTTTTATACATTTCTTTTATATATCTTCTTTTATATATCTTTTTATAAATTGTTATATACGTATTAATTATAAATTATTATATACGGTGTTAATATATTCATAATGAAATATCTTTGAAAGATGAAATTATATAAAAGCTATATTGTTTCCAATTTCGATGATTTTAAAATATTGAATATTTTTATACATACAATTTTCGATCGACTTTTTCGAAATATTTGCAAAAAGAAATTGTTATTATTGCATAAAATTTTATTTATATGTAGATATCCGCAATAATGTATGCATCAACTGATTTCTCAAAAATAAACTCCTTGCAATATTAATTGCAATTTAAATTAATTTATATATGTAAAATATATAAAAAAAATAATTTATATATATTAACTTTAATAATTATTAATATAAATTTTAAATTTGAATTTCAATTATTAATATAATATAATTATTAATATAATAATAGTGATTTATAATTTTTTTTGCACAATCGATAATTCAGATCATGTCATATTAAAATTCCATAAAATGTAAGTCTATTCTATATCTTGTCTATGTGATATTGAATAACATAACCTAACAATTTGAAACATAAGGAATATACGAATTTATTGCATTCTTATTCATTAAAATTAGAAATTAATTTAACTTTTTGCTATACGAAATTACATAACTCTATATATAGATTATACATACTTTATGTAAAATTGTATATATGTTCCTCAATAAAACAGAGTGCATAAATAAAAAAGGAGAATGATTTTATAATTTTTTATGTAATTTCTTCTGCAATTTATACTTTACATAAATATCAAATTATATTCTTCTACATTAATAATATAATGATAATATTATATGTATATGTTATTTAATTTTGTTAAATTTGTATCATAGTTGAATTTCATTAAATAAAATTTTGAGTTAGAAGTAATAAATTATATTTATATCATGGCAAATATCAAGGTATGTTCATTACTATCATTTTAATTTATTATGATGTACATTTATATATATTTAAATAATGTTTTTAATACATAATTTTATTTTCAGGAATTACCAGAATTACAAGTTTTTAAAACAGTATTATTTCACTGTGTAGTGATAATAGCCTTACCTGTATTGTCATTTTTTACTAGCAAGATTTTTATTTTTGATGGTATGAAAGCAAACAATATTATGTTTGATATTTAGCAAATATAGAAATTATAATTTTTTTAGAAAAAATGTTAAAGAATATATATTTACATAAATATTATCTATAAAAATTTTTAAAATTTCTAATCTAATAGATTATAATTTATGCTTTGTATTTTATGCTTTATATAGTGAAGAACAAAATTTTTTATACACTAACTTAAAAAAAAATAACATAGAAATTCTAATGTTAATGAAAATTTTATGTAAAATATAATAGAATATTAATATATTAATAATAAGTATAAATAATGAATTGTACAATTTTTTTATCAATCAGAAATCAGAATCAATCAGAATCTCTTTGAGGAAATGAAGTCAACTCTCAGTTTCCAGTTTCCATTTTTTGAATTTTTAATATTTAGAATTTTTTTTCTAGTTCTAAAATCTGAAATTTATCTAAAAAAAAAAAAAAAAAAATTAAAAAATTTTTTTTATTTAATATATAACCCATTATATATATTGTGAATTTATTTGTAAAATAATGAATAAAAACTTTCATTCTTCACTGTATATATAAATTATTGAATATACTAAATTATAAATAATTTTGATTATTATATTACGTATTAATATTATATCTTTTTACGAATCTGATTTCAATAAATGGGTAATTTTAAATTTATTGAAATATATTTTATACATTTTAGGTTTATTGGGGCTTAATCATGTGCCAAGTAACGTATATTCAGCTGCTGTTGCGATTCTCGTATTACACGTGGCTCTAGGATCTTTTATATATCGTGCATATTTTGATGATCAATCAAAGACACAAACAAAACGAGATTAATCATTTTTTCTTGTTTGAAATATGTATGTAATTAAATACACTTTCTGGATAACATATTTATTCGTGTATAATTATCGGAAAAAAATGTTACATTATATTGCATTACATTCTGCAATCGCTTACTTCTTTGTTGATATTTTGTTTTTTTTATTGAATACTGTGAATTGTGCAAAGGGAAGGTTTATCTGTATTACTTGTATTAATTAAACATAATTACTAAATAAAAAAAGCAATGGCATTCCCACACAATATTTGCATATTGTACAGCACAAACTTGCAATATACATACATCTACATGGAATATAATTCCATTATACATATTTTACTTTTATATTTGAGAAATCTTGTAGTACATTTTATAATTTATAGTGCCTCAATACATCACATCAGATGGATAAATTAATTATAGTGCACTTTATGATCACAGTACTAGATCAGGAGCGAATTTATAATTCTCTAGGCAGATAATTTTGATAGCTATGTAGAAAATATATTGATATATGAATTTTTAAAAAAAATTAAGAAATACAAACAACTATTACAAAAGTTTAGTACAAATCCGCCCCTAATGATACTGAATAGAAGCCATGTATTTTTTTATCTTCAAGAAAGAATAAATAACAAAATGAATTTGTAATTAATATAATACAACATAACAATATACCACTGATTTTTTTTTAGTAGTACCAATGAAGAAGAATAGTATTCTAGATAAAATAATATCTTTGCAAGAATTGCAAAAAAAGATATCAAATTAATTGAAACACAGATCAAACGAGAAAATATTTTTTACTTTTATGAAAAACTATTAATTATGTACAATATACCTAACTATAATTTTTCATTTTTAGAAATTTCATGTCATCAAAGCTTCGATAATATTAAAGTATCATAAATTGTACACGATTTAGGTTAGCAGCTCTTTTAAACACACGAAGCTTTAGCAAATCCTAGAACAAGCTTAATAAACTTCATTAATGAAATATTAATTTATTTAAGTATTGTAAATGCAACAAAAGTTTATATGACAGAATATTTCGCTGTCGGCCTAAAAAAGTGTTGGAATGAATACTTATTGTATTAAATACATAAGATCGCCAGCGATATTAACTACTTCACATTTTAATTTAGTTATTAGCTCTAACTTAATATTTGTCCTATATATTATAAGTAACAATGTATTAAATCTTTCTACTGGCAATGAAATCAGGAAACTCTTTAGAGTACTCCACTGATAAATTTTGTTACACTTTTCTAAAAGCATATTAAAAATTGAAGAATTTTTTAATTGAATTATAAGATATTTATAACTTCTTGAAATTGAAATAAGATTGTTGTAAATGTCATGCTCTTTTAATTTAAATGGTTAATTTTCAAAAATGTAACAAATGTACTATTAATGAAACAATTTTAAAAAATCATATCTTGAATTTCACGTCAATCTTAACTTATTATAATTTATTTGAAAGAAATAGTCTTACATAAATTACTATATTAAAACATACACATGTCCTTTTTTTAATGATTTATGATAAAAATTCTTCAGATTTCAATATACTTAAATTAATGATACAGTCCATCATAAATACATAAACTTATCACATCGATGATTGTGATAGGAGAAGAAGAGAAAAAACAATCAATCACATGTGCTAACTAAAAATATATCAGGCGCTTTTGTGACATGATAAAAATGATTTATGTGATGACATAATTTTCGATATTTTAATCGTGATAGATTTAATAGCATTAAAACACATAAAATAGGATGATTGTTACTCAACATCCATTTTTTCTTCTTGGGGTTGTTGTTGCTGATTAGTCTGAATATGGCCATCACCTTGGTTATTTTGATTTTTTTGATGATCTTCACCAGTTTTATCTTTAGGTTTCTCTTCTTTTGGTGGTTCAATCTTAGGTTTTGGTTTATTTAAAATTGGTAGTACAATACTATCCAATGTCTATGAAACATAAAAAAATGTGTAAATAATAATTTATTACTTCCATATAAAATTATATATATATATATATTTTATATACCAATTTTTCTCCACGAATTTGTGCTACAGTAACTGGTGGTTGTTGTGTGCGAGGTGTACTGGCAAGAAGTACACGTTTTTCTTCTAACCATGTCCATTTTTCATGTACTGCTTTCTCAACTTTCTTTACTTCTTCTTCTGTTAAATGAGAATATTTATCATCTTTTCCACTGGATGCTCTAATGAGATCTACTCCTTTTTTAGCAAGTTGTAAAGCTGCTGATAAATCATCTAGTGCATGACCTCGACCTTCAAATTCTACTCGTCTTTCTTTAATTGGTTCACCTTGTGACTAGCAAAAGAAAATAATTTTTGATTTTGAACAGAAAATATTTAATAATATTTAATATGAAAGCAATGTAACTTACCTTAAGACGTGTTAATCGTTCTGAATAAATTTGTCGCTGACAATCCTCACCTTCTTCGTACAACCAATTTTCAGTTTCATCTAATGTACGACAAAGTGCTTCTTTATCTATTTCCGTAACAAATGTAGATAATTGATCCTCTTCTGATAATTTAGCACGAAGATCGTAAACATATTCTTCTAATGCATTACGCGCGTCTACACGTTCTTTTTCTTGTTTATCTTCAGCGATCATTTTGGCCTATAACAAAAAAAAAAAAAAAAAAAA